TTACCTTATCCTTTTGTTATGAAACAACTTTTCATAGCCAATTCAAATTCAAATTCAAACATTTAAATTCAAATGTTCAAACATTTAAATTCTAAATTCAAATTATAATTTAAATTATAAATTCAAAATTCAAATTCAAAATTCAAAATTCAAATTCCAAATTCAAAATTGAAATTCAAAATTCAAATTTCAAAATTCAAATTTCAAATTCAAAATTCAAAATTTACATATTTGATAATTAATTTAACTAATTAAATTAATTAGTAATGTCTTGGACCATCCAAGCCCATTACATAATCGATGCGCCCTTTTCCCTTTTGGTGGGCTTCCAAACTTCTTCTTGGGCTAACAACCATTATTAGGCCCAATACTTTTAATGCTATATTATCATGACAATAAGGTGTTAATGTGTGACCCATTAGGCCCAACATAGCCATTCACTTAAATGGGCTTGGGCCCAATAAGCCCACAACCCATTTAATGACAACACAGAGCACTAGCAATGCTTTGTTGTCCCAGAACTAGTTAGATTAATGACTTGATCATCCTATTATACATATTTGGTTACCATATATATTTCCTTTCGTCTTGGTTAAATTCCCATTAAACCTAGGGTAAGGAAATGTATCAACCCTTGCGATTTAGGGTAAGTTTTATTCGAAATAAGGAATCTTCAATTTACTGACTCTAAAGGCAGATCATCTCGTGATCTCTTTTACTATGCATAGATTCCCGAGTCCCAGTAAATGTCATCCCGATTTCTCCGGTTTACAGATAACCTAATCTCTCATAGAGATTTGACGAATTCCTTCAGCTTATCACCCTAGCCTTGTGCTCTTTCAGGACAAGCCCAACAGTGTACCTATGAGTCTCCATGTTTCAGGAAGACGAGGTATACAATCAAAGCATGCCTTCTAGAACACAGTCTAGGTAATAACTTCTGGTCTAAGGAAAGACATACCCAAATATAAAGAGACTACTCTAATGATACTATCTGTGAGATTTCCTCATAGAGTCTCTTTGTGGGTCTGTTCAGTGCGAGCTATACCCTTATAGGTCCACCCACGACTTTAGCTAAGACATGTCCATATCTGTAGCACATGAGGTCTTTACCTTGTATCCAAATACAAGTAGATAAGTCGTGCTAGTCTTACCCGAGATCACTGATCCCCATTCTCAGTGTCTCTAGACTAGGAATATAAAATTAGGAATAAACGTGCGGTATCCTTGAATCCTCATGATCGTGATCTCATCATAGATACTCAAGAGATACCTGTTCTACTCCAAGGTGTTTATCCAGTTACTCATATAAAATATTAACAATAATATTGAGACAAAATATGAAACAGGATAAAGAGTGCTTTTATTTATTTGCGACAATATAAAAGGTCCACATATGTCCTAATCTAGTCAAAAGATTGTCTGTAGGACATCCATATACTAACAGAAAGACAAGCCTTCACGCTACCTGTCCGCCCTTCCAATAGAAACACCAACCTTCACACTACCCTTATGCCCGGCTAACAGGATGATCAGCCTTCACGCTGCCCATCCGACCAGCAAGTAGGAAGACCATCCTTCACGCTACCCTTCCGCCCAGCCAACAGGATGAGTGTTAGTATATGGATGTCCTAGAGACAATCTTTTGTTCAGATTAGGACATATATGGACCTTTTTATATTGTCGCAAATAAATAATAAGCACTCTTTATCCTGTTCCATATTTTGTCTCAATATTATTGTTAATATATTATATGAGTAACTGGATAAACCCCTTGGAATAAAATAGGTATCTATTGAGTATTTGTGATGAGATCACGATCATGAGAATTTAAGGATACCAGATGTTTATTCCTAATTTTATGTTCCTAGTCTAGAGACACTGAGAATGGGGATCAGTAATCTCGGGTAAGACTAGCACGACTTATCTACTTGTATTCGGATACAAGGTAAAGACCTCATGAGCTACAGATATGGAGATGTCTTAGCTAAAGTCGTGGGTGGACCTATAAGGGTATAGCTCGCACTGAACAGACCCACAAAGAGACTCTATGAGGAAATCTTACAAAAGTATCATTAGAGCAGTCTCTTAATATTTGGGTATGTCTTTCCTTAGACCATAAGTTGTCACCTAGACTGTGTTCTAGAAGGCATGTTTTGATTGTATACCGCGTCTGCCTGAAACATGGAGACTCATAGGTATACTTTTGGGCATGTCCTGAAAGAACACGGGCCTAGGGTGATAAGCTGAAGGAATTCATCAAATCTCTGTAAAGGATTAGGTTATCTGTAAACCGGAGAAATCGGGATGACATTTACAAGACTCGGGAATCTATGCATAGTAAAAGAGATCATGAGATGATCTGCATTTAAAGTCATTAAATTGAAGATTCCCTATTTCGAATTAAAGCTTACCCTAAACCGCAAGGGTTGATACGTAACCTCATCCTAGGTTAATGGGAAGGTAACCGAGGCGAAAGGAAATGCATACGGCAACCAAATATGTGTAATAGGATGATCAAGTCATTAATCTAACTAGTTCTGGGGCAACAAAGCATTGCTAGTGCTCTGTGTTGTCATTAAATGGGTTGTGGGCATGTTGGGCCCGAGCCCATTTATGTCAGTGGCTATATTGGACCTAATGGCTCACACACTAACACCTTATTGTCATGATGATCTAGCATTAAAGGTATTGGGCCTAATAATGGTTGTTAGCCCAAGAAGAAGTTTGGAAGCCCAACTAAAAGAGAAAAGGGCGCAAGGATCATGTAATGGGCTTGGATGGTCCAAGACATTACTAATTAATTTAATTATCAAATATTTAAATTTTGAATTTTGAATTTGAAATTTGAATTTTGAAATTTGAATTTTGAATTTGAATTTTGAATTCGAATTTGGAATTTGAAATTTGAAATTTGAATTTAGAATTTGAATTTTGAAATTTGAATTAAGAATTTAAATTTTGAATTTAAATGTTTGAATTTGAATTTGAATTGGCTATGAAAATTTGTTTCATAACAAAAGGATAAGATAAGATCTTGTTGGAACAAATCCCTTGTATCAAGAGGAGATCTTTGAAGATCACCAAGAGCTGTTTGGGGTGCTGATTTAGTGTGATTATAAGTGTCATCTAGTCAACCAAATAAGCTCCAATCAAATTTGGTTGGCTGAGGGAATCAGTGAGTGAGTTGGTTCAAATTTGAATGCAACTGCTCAACGTATCTGGACCCTTTTTGGGGTTGAATGGGGCGCATAGATGGTTGGGTATATGATGGCCATTAGGTCATAATTTTGACTAGAAAAAGATCTAGTCTCATGAGGATTGAATAGTAGGTTGTTGGGAATTTTGAATTGCAACATTTCCACCCTTTCTCTCCCTTTATGTGCGCCGTTTGTGATCAGAATTTTGAGCAGAAAATCTGATTGCATCCTTGTTTCCTCTCATCCTTTTGGTGCGCCACTTTTGTTAGGTTTTTCCTTAAGTGTTTTCGAATTAACCTAGCCTTTTCTAAGAGCATCCATGCCCCACTTTTGGGAAGTTTTCATGCTGTAGACTTCACTCTTCTAAACACCTTTACCTAGTGATAAGACTACTATGAGGGTGTATAGCAGAAAACGCTACAGGGGATCACAAACTCTTGCTGACTCAGAGGAGAGAGATGGGAATGATAATGCTGCCAAGGGAAATTCTGTTAGGAGGCATTCGGTTAGTGAGGTGCATGTTGTTGCTAACGTGGCAAGGGATGGAAAAGGATCCTAAGGTGATTATATAAACAGAACACATTACGGGGAAGGAGGAGGCTGGGAAAATTGGGAGTTCTTGGGAGAGATCAGTGCCTCTTTAATTGCACTGAAATTATAGAGTACTTTTCTGTAGTATTTCTCTTTTAAGCTTTAGATTGAAAGTTCACTGTAATAGCATTTTCTCTTTTGATTAATATTAAGAAAATCCAGATTTCTGGGCCCAAAAATACTTGCGTTGCTGCGTTTATTTCTCTGATTGCATTGCCAGTCTTATCAACTGGTATCAGAGCACTCCGATCCTTGGGGTGCTTTGAATGGTTCTTACTCGCAACATGGATAACCGCTTGGAAATTGTTGAGGAGCGCCTCAGACAGATGGAGACAATGGCTGATGAACGCCATGACAGAAGTGAGCAAAGGTTAAATGAGATATTGGATTTGCTGCAACGACGAACACGCAGTCGCGAAAGACCTCACAGGGTACCCAGCCCTCGTCGTGGTCGTTTGCGTCAGAGGAGTACCGATTCAACTGAATCAGAATGGCGTAATCCAATGGCCGGAAGACATGGGGGTGGAACCCCACGTCAACCCAGGTTGGAGCCCCCTAGATTCTGCGGGGAGGATGTGTTCGCGTGGGTATCCAGGGTCGAGCGCTATTTCTTGGTTAACGAGATCCCTGAACGCATGAAGTTGGATGCGGTTCTGACCGTCCTCGATGGGGCTACGTTAAAATGGTTCTTCATATGGGAGCGTAGTAATACAAACGCTTCTTGGGAGGAATTCAGAGCGGACATCATGGACCGTTTCCAACTGGAGTTGACTGGTAGTCTCTATCAAGAGCTGATGAGCTTGAAGCAGGTGGGTAGTGTTGCTGATTATAGGGCTGAATTTGAGAGAATAATCAGCCCCATTCACTATGCCGACGAGACCATGCTCAAGGAAATTTGGCTTCATGGTGTTAGCAGCAACCTTCGAATAGAGTTGTTGCAGAGCAACATTGATTCCTTATCGGACCTGATGAGGAAGACGATGGACTTGGAGAGACGGAACGAATCTTGGCTGACGGATGGGCTTGGGACGTTGTGGGGGGGGGGGGGGCAAGGCAAGTGGGTTGGGCCGTTCACATCAGCCCACGAAGGGATTTTCCGCTGGGCCGCACACAAAAGGCTCAGCCATAAATGCCACTAATCCAGCTAGTGGTGTGACACGTGCCTCTGTAACTAACCAAAACGACTTGCGTTTCGGACAGGGCAATACCATGCGTTTTAATAACGCTGACACCGTAGGAGACCCTAGAACGAATGAAGCTTCTGGAAGCAGCAATGTTAGAGGAGGAGGACGACTCAGCCAAGCGGAGTTGCACGACCGGAGCCGCCGCGAACTTTGTTTCAAGTGTGGAGAACGATGGGATCGTACCCATCGCTGTCGGAATGCGCAGTTGCAGTTGCTGGTGGTCGAGGAAGCTGAAAAGGCGCATGATGTACCGACGGTCGCGAACGAAGAAAAAGGAGACGAGGAGGAGCAACCGATCGGAACGGATACCTTACAGTTGTCAGTCTACAGCATCCTAGGGCTCTCTTCGAACCAAAGCATGCAACTATGGGGATCCGTGAAGCGCGAGAGGGTGACAACGCTTGTTGACTATTGTGCCACACACAACTTTGTCAACCGTCATGTGGCTGAAAAATTGGGTTTGCCCATTGAAGATTCCTACAGCTTTAACGTAGTGTTGGGAGATGGTCACAAGGTAGGAAGTCAAGGGGTGTGCCGTCAAGTAGACCTACAAATTCAGGAGTATCAGACGAAACAGGATCTGTTCATCTTTGACCTAGGAGGTGCGGAGGTCATTCTTGGAATGGATTGGCTGAAGGGTTTGGGGGAAATTACAACTGATTTCAACAAGCTGACGTTAAGATTTCAAGCTGAGGGTAAGCAGATGACTCTTCGTGGTGATCCTTCACTCTCTCGTAAGGGTGCTTTGGCCTCTGTACGATCAATGATGAAAACCATGAAGGATGAGGGCCTCGGTTGTGTGATTGAGCCTCAGTGGGTCCAAGGAAACTCATCAGCAGAACATGAGAAGTGGGACGAACTCTCTCAGCTGCTGGCCGAATTTGATGATATCTTCCAACAGCCTCAAGGCTTACCTCCCCACCGGCGCCATGATCATGCCATCGAACTTAAACCTGGTAGTGCGGTACCCAATATTCGTCCCTACAGGTATCCTCATTATCAGAAGTCTTTAATTGAATCTCTGGTGTCTGAGTTGCTTACTGCAAGAATGATACGTCCAAGTATCAGTCCTTACTCGAGTCCAGTAATTCTGGTGAGAAAAAAAGATGGAAGTTGGCGAGTATGCATGGATTATAGGGCCCTCAACAAGCTCATTGTACCCGACAAGTTTCCCATTCCTGTTATTGAGGAGTTACTGGACGAGTTGGGAGGATCCAGCATTTACTCCAAATTGGACCTCAAATCCGGGTATCACCAGATACGCATGAGGGAAGAAGACATTCCCAAAACGGCTTTCAGAACCCATGAGGGTCACTATGAGTACTTAGTGATGCCTTTTGGGCTCACAAACGCTCCATCTACCTTCCAGTCCTTGATGAATGAGATATTGAGGCCGCATTTGCGCAAGTTTGTTCTGGTGTTTTTTGATGACATTCTTGTCTACAACAGCTGTAAGGATGAGCATTTAAGACATCTCAGGGCTGTTCTGCAGATTTTACGTCAACATCAATTGGTAGCAAATAAAAAGAAATGAAGTTTCGGGCGACAACAAATTGAATATTTGGGCCACATCATTTCTTCGGAGGGAGTGAAAGCAGATCCCTCCAAGATTGAAGCTATGTCTCAGTGGCCTAGTCCAAAAAATTTGAAAGGACTGAGAGGTTTTTTCGGGCTAACCGGTTATTATCGCAAGTTTGTGGAAAGGTACGGGAAAATAGCCAAACCACTTACTGATTTGCTTAAAAAGGATGCCTTCCTCTGGAGTCAAGAAGCCCAAGCATCCTTTGAAACGTTAAAGGCGGCCATGAGTATTGTCCCTCTCTTAGCAATGCCCAATTTTGAAAAACCGTTCACTGTCATCACAGATGCGTCTGGCAAGGGAATATGAGTTGTCCTTACTCAAGAAGATCGCCCAATTAGTTACCTCAGCCAAGCTTTCTCTCCTCGAGCTTTGGAAAAATCGGTTTATGAGAAGGAATTGATGGCAATCGTGTTTGTTGTCCAAAAGTGGAGACCTTACCTAATGGGTCGTCATTTTGTCATCAAAACCGACCAGAAGAGCTTGAAGTTTCTTGCTGACCAGCGTCTTCTGGGGGAAGAGCAACAAAAATGGGTCTCCAAACTCCTCGGGTTTGACTTCGAAATTCAGTATCAGCCGGGAAAAGAGAACAAGGTTGCTGATGCCTTGTTCCGAAATTTGCAATTTTTCTCCCTCTCATGTGTGTATGCCAACAAATACGAAGCAGTGGAACATGAATTACATGCTGATGTCCGAATGCAGGGGATCATTCAAGATTTGCTACTCAACCCACAAGCTCATCAAGGATCCAGCTTACAAGGTGGTCGGCTGTATCATCAGGGGCGGATAGTATTGGCCAAAAACTCTAATTTTATTCCATTAGTGTTACATGAGTTCCATGACTCTAACATTGGTGGGCATTCTGGGTTCCTCCGAACACTGAAGAGAGTCAATAGTCTAGTGTATTGGGAGGGCATACGCAAGAGAATTCAAGAATACGTGGCAGCTTGTCCCGTGTGCCAGCAAAATAAAGTATCCACGTTGTCTCCTGCTAGACTTTTGCAGCCTTTACCCATTCCTACAAAAATCTGGTCTGATTTATCTATAGACTTCATAGGTGGTTTACCCAAGGCTCAAGGCTTTGACACAATTTTTGTGGTGGTGGATCGGCTTGCCCATTTTGTTCCTCTCAAGCATCCGTATACTGCCAAGGTGGTTGCCTATATGTTCATCAAGGAAGTAGTCAAATTACATGGGTTCCCAACATCCATTGTAAGTGATAGAGATAGAGTTTTCCTTAGTGCATTTTGGTCTGAGTTATTTCGCTGCAGTGGCACGCACTTGAAGTACAGCACCTCTTATTATCCCCTATCCAATGGACAAACTGAGGTGGTGAACCGTTGTTTGGAAGATTACCTCAGGTGTTTTTGCTCACCTAAGCCCAAAACATGGCCTTCTTGGTTACACTGGGCAGAATTTTGGTATAATACCACCTTCAAGAGTGCGACGGGTACCAGTCCCTTCAAGGCAGTATATGGTTGTGAACCACCTACATTATTTCGGTCCAGCTTTGCTATTTCCCCTGTAGATGAGGTCTCCACAATACTGCAAGATAGAGATCTGATTTTGCAAGAGTTACAACAGCACCTGGTTGTCGCTCAGAATAGAATGAAGACCCAATCAGACCTTCATCGGCGTGATGTAGAGTTTCAAATACATGACATGGTCTACCTCAAACTTCAGCCATACAGGTTACGCTCACTGGCCCGAAAACTGAATGAGAAGTTAAGTCCTAGATTTTATGGCTCTTATGAGATAGTGGATCGCATTGGAGCTGTAGCTTACAAACTGCTGTTGCCAGAGGATTGCAAGGTCCATAACGTCTTCCATGTGTCCCTTCTAAAGAAAGCTTTCTCCCCTAACACTATGGTACAACCGTTGCCACCCATGTTGACTGATGATTGGGAACTTGTGGTTCAACCTGAAGCAGTCCTTCAATGGCGGAGGAACTCTATGGGTCGGGAGGAGGTGCTGATTAAGTGGTTGCATCTTCCTTCCTTTGAGAATTCTTGGGAAGATTCAGCTTAATAGCATTCTGAATTCCCTGAATTTCACCTTGAGGACAAGGTGAAGGTTTTGGGGGGGGGGAGTATTGATAAGACTACTATGAGGGTGTATAGCAGAAAACGCTACAGGGGATCACAAACTCTTGCTGACTCAGAGGAGAGAGATGGGAATGATAATGCTGCCAAGGGAAATTCTGTTAGGAGGCATTCGGTTAGTGAGGTGCATGCTGTTGCTGACGTGGCAAGGGATGGAAAAGGATCCAAATGTGATTATATAAACAGAACACATTACAGGGAAGGAGGAGGCTGGGAAAATTGGGAGTTCTTGGGAGAGATCAGTGCCTCTTTAATTGCACTGAAATTATAGAGTACTTTTCTGTAGTATTTCTCTTTTAAGCTTTAGATTGAAAGTTCACTGTAATAGCATTTCCTCTTTGGATTAATATTAAGAAAATCCAGATTTCTGGGCCCAAAAATACTTGTGTTGCTGCGTTTATTTCTCTGATTGCATTGCCAGTCTTATCACCTAGCCTCCTCCTTCACACATAGGACGCCTAGCAAGCTTTTGTGGTGATAAATTGGTGGCTTTTCAAGAAGAGTTCTTGCATCTTGACGTGGGGTGGTGTGGATCAACGTTAGAGGGTTTGAACCCTTCAAACCTGACACTGATCTCCTTGGTGTTTGAATCACAAACAAAGGTAACATCATGCTGTCTTAAAGCATGAATCTTGATTGCATGTGTTATTCCGCTTGAAAAATTTTGTTTTTTCCTCTCGCATGCTTCGACCTTCAAGGTCATTTTTCTTTCAAGTGGTATCAGAGTTCGGTTGCTTTACAATCGGCGGGTGATGGTACCTTGTTTATGAAAATTGTTTTTTACGGTCAAAAGATATTTAAAGGGTTAAAGCTTGAATTTTTGCATATGGATTTTGAATTACAATGCTTTAAATTGTTAATGTTTTTGTTTTTATGAACATGTTAATACGATTGCTATGTTCATATATCTATATGTAGTCATGGTTTTGTTTCTTTTTTCTTTGTGAAAGTTTTAAAAGGAAACACCTTTTTGAAAGGGATGATTCGGCCATGAAGGGTACTTAGAGTACCTTGATTGTTTTCTTATTTTTCTCCATGAATTGTATCATGAGCATAGCATGAAATTTTTTGTGACAAAATTTATCATATACATGCATATATGATTCGGCCATTAAAGGGTTTATGGCTGCATGCATGGTTTAATTTTGTGTTCTTTGAGAAAGAGTTAACAAAATTAGAATTATAAAAATTGTTATATAATTCGGCCATTAAGTGAAAATTAAGAAAAATTTGAATCATGATTCTTGTAATTGCATTTTAATTGTTAAAATGTTAAGACGTGTGAATGAACATATTTTATGATATTTGATATCTTGTGCTTGCGAAGTTGTCTAACCTTTCAGGTGCAAAAAGGGAAGGGGATGGTCATGGTGCCCGAAATTTGAATTTCAAATTTTTAAATTAAATGTGTAATTTTGCTCTATTTAAATTAGAGGTGTAATTTGAATTTTAAATTTTGTAATTTTTCATTTGTCCCTCCAAAGATGTTTTGGAGTTTCTTTAATTATTTGTAATTAGAAAATTAGGCTAGTGGTGTTTAGACGACAAGCAGCCGTGGCTTGAGAAGCAAGATGGACGAATGCGCGAGCACCATGACTATCTCAAATAAAAGTGTTTTATATGCTTGTATGTTTTAAAAACGACTAGTATGCATGAGATAGTGTATCGCAGATGTATGCTTTTATGTTTTAAAAACGACTAGTATGCATGAAATTGGACAAATCGCGTTTGTAAGTATTATTATGCACGTCCAATAACGACTAGTATAATCCGATAGATGTTTGACATAGGATACGACTAGCATGATAATAATGCATACGCATTTGATGAGAGTTAATAAAACCTAAATAAAAGGAACCCTTAAAAGGAATAAATTATTAAGTGCATGATTACCTCCCACCACCAGTATTACTCAAACCTCCTCTAAATAGTGGTGCTCCACAACTCAGTTGGGACCCACTGTTTTGTTGAGTAAGAGTAGTATTAGAAGTGTGAGACACTTAGGGTGCTGGTTAGTGCTTAACTAAGAGCATGAGTTGCAGGCTCAGCCGGGCTCATGTGCTTAGGGTAATAGTGCTAGGTTGGTTGCATAAGATGCACCACTAAGTGACAAGGAGTTGTCAACCTAATGTTAAGAGAGGGTATGAGATACTGTTGAAAAGGATCAACCCATTATTTAATTTAATTTTGCAGTCTCAGACGAGGGTTAAAATAAATAATCACACTCTTAAAATCCCACTAAGGTAAAATCTAAAAGTAGAACAACCCTAAGTCAAAGTTTAAGGGTTGTTGAGTTAGATAAAATAGTGGGAGGGGCATATTATTTAAAGTCTTTAATAATTTGCTCTTATTACACGACAATATATATTAATTAATCTATCTTTACATTTTTCAGTTTTTAGTATGACTAATCCACTGTCACTGCGCTCAATACTCGATATGAACAAATTAACCGGTCCTAATTTTATGGACTGGTATCAGAACGTCAGAAATGTTCTGCGGGTCGAAAAAGTTGCTTATGTCCTTGACACTGCTTTACCTATTACGCCTAAGGAAGGGGAAGATGGGTTCGCGAAATTTGATTTCGAGGCCCACAAGCAACACATGGATGATAATGTGTTGGCTTGTTGCATCATGCTGGCATCCATGTCGCCTGAACTGCAAAAGCAGCACGAACATATGGATGCCCCCTCCGTTGTCCTTCATCTCAAGGAGTTGTATGATAAGAAGGATAAGCATGAGAGGTATGAGACCTTTAGGGAATTGTTCCTATGCAAGATGACTAAAGGCATGTCCTTTAACCGCCATGTCCTGAAGATGATAGCGCTCATTGAGAAGCTAGAGGGTCTAGGC